CTGAAACCCAACAGTATGTGCTGTTGAGAATTATTTCCGGATGTCCGAAGGGGATTCCCCAAACACCCCACGCTAAAAGCAAGCCAGACAACCCAAACAGCTGCGTTCACGAATAGCAGCATCCAGGAAATCTACGTGGGAATGCAGGGTGCCAGCGAGTTTGTCTTCTCTGGCGTTCTGGGCCATTTCAACTACACCCCACAGCTGCCGGAGATCGCGAACCCGGTGCAGCTACTATAGGGCTGGGAATGCTTGGCATTAATGTCCCTTAAAGAACCTATATGCAATACTATATCACAGGTATATACATTATATATATATATATATCTCTCTCTCTCTCTCTCTATCTCTATATCTATATCTATATCTATATCTATATCTATATCTATGTCTATGTCTATGTCTATGTCTATATCTATATATGCTCGCCCCCCCCCCCTCCCCCCCCATGATCCACCATCGGTGGTTCTGGGGAGTGGGGGGAACACGTGTGAGAGTTCCTGCTTTTCATCATCTTCATCATCTTTATCATCTCCATCATCTTCATCATCTTCATCATCCTTATCATCTTCATCATCTCCCTCCCCCTCCCTCCCTCCCCTCCCTCTCTCCCCCCCCCTAGATGTTCTACTAGGAAGCGCGTACATTTCTAGGCAGAACCTTGGCGTGGAAACGTCCTTGAACGGCGTCCTGTCCCAGCACCATGTGCGCATGATGGGTTTCAACATGATGAAGCAAGCTTCGTGCCCCCTCAATTGCAAATGACTCTGACAAACAGAACTGAATTCCGCAGCCTGAAATTGCTCGAATCATTGCACTTCCCTATCTCTCTCGACTCTCGTCTTCATCCATGGCATCACACCTCACTTCCGGAAACGTGTGCCTTCAGGACGTCAATCGAGAACTCAAACATCTTCACGCTCGACACGCACAACTTCGTTGAGTCCTCTGGGTCATTGAGACCACTTGATCTCCCTCTTGTAGATTACCTCAAGTGCTTCGTCGACATCATCACTGACGTCTCTGACTTCCCCAAGACTGAAATCAAACAGGCTATCGTCAGTAAGCAGATCCACGACCTTCCGGCTCCCAACAGCCTCACCCAGAAGATTGATCTCCCCACAAAGTTGGACATCGCAATCATCAAGCAGAATAACGGGACTTTCTGTGTTGTTAAGATCGTGAACTTGAAGGAAAAGGTGAAGGTTAGCCGGGTCCAAGATTTGTGCTATGGCAAGTGTCAAGCAGTGGATTGGGTAGGCGATATCAAAGCCATCAAGAAGGGCTTGCACTACATGTTCGAATGTCTTGGTGGGTTCCAGTGTCGACAGCATGTTCTGCGGACTCGTGAGGAAGGGAAACCTGAAGTGGACCGAACACCTGAAGAATGGGACTTCGGGTTTGACTTTATTCAGGAGCATGGCCCCCGTGAGAACATCAAGAACGACAACTTAGTTGGATCACCAAAGAAGTTGCCCGGAAGGAGTCCCCTATGTACAAGTGGTCGCCGGTGTGGCAATATACAGTATGTTTTCAAACACTACGGTCTTTGTAATTCGTTATTGTTTTGTTCTTACTGTGCAGGTGGGGCGCTGCTAAATGGGCCAAGGGCCAAACCGGCGTCTATTGCATCAATGAGTTCGAGGAGAACACAGAGCCCAAACTCGATCAGCCTCTCCTGCAGCAGGCCGAAGGCATTCCCACGTACGTCTCACATGACGACTTCCTCAAGATGCTAGAGCCATCGTGGTATCGTAAGGAAAACAGCAATGCAAACGTCATGGCCGTCCTCAAACGCACCCACATCTTCTTGAACACTGCCACATCTCTTTTTGTGCGCCCGGCAGGTGAGAAGCCATGCCCGCTACACGTAATATTATGATTTAAGGAATATTCCTTACTTAAGGGGTGTTGGGCTCGCTCGTTCCGTGATCTTTTCTTTTTGTTGAAGAACGTAACATTGCCCAAACAACAAAAGCAGGCTCGCGGACATGTTCCTTTGAAGCTGGGCGGGGGGAGCACGCCATTTGTGGCCGTGCTCGACACTCACGCCCATTGGTCGTACGAGGCCACACACAAGGACGCGGAGGTGCACGACAGTGCAGCGTAGCTCCGACGGGGAAGCTTGCTGCCATGCACCTCCAGACAGACCGTCCTCTCTCGCGCTGTCGACAGTCGGCGTCAAGCGCAGCGCGACAGAGTCAGCGAGGGTTGGGTCGCAGCTGGCATCGCCAACGCGCTGGATGGGTCGGAAGACCATCTGTTGTCGCACGTGCTGCTTCCATTTTGGGCAGAGCTACAAATGGACACGGCCAGGCTTCAACTCATTGCGGAGATCGAAGATGCATATGCCAATGGCCAGATTTCAGCATGGTCTGAGTACGAGAATGTGTTGGAGGCCTACGACGAGCACAGAGCTTTGATTGAAGGGGAAGAAGCATGGCCAGAAGACATGGTGGAACCCACAGCAGAGGACGGATATGAGTTGCCGGACAATCCTGACTACGTGGACAAGCTCTTCGAGGAGGATGATAGCGCAGGAGAGGTTGCAGAGCTTGCCTCGGCAAGAGATGCTATGTCAGCGCAAGAGCAAGCCCCGAAACAAGTGGCAGTGGAGAACGACAAGAAGCTGCTAAATCAACTCGTAACCATGCGAGCGACGATGCAGGAGCTTGGTGACACAGCCACCAAAACTTTCTGGACCAGCCCATCCTGGATGTCCGCAAAAGACAAGCTCAACCGAACGAAACTGTTAGTGTACACTTGCGTGCAAAAGCTCTTGAACACCGTGCTGAAGAAGCCCAACAACGTGCAGAGACAGCCACTGCAAGGGAGAAGTGGCGGCAGCCCCAGCAAGAGCAAAAAAGCGCAGAGCTTGCGCTGCAGAAGGCCAAAGCAGAGAAATCCAGTGCACAGGCTGCTTGCAAACTGAGGCTGGAAGATTTCAGATGCCAAGTTAGCACGAGCTGCCGAGGCACAGCAACGCGCAGAGCAATCACACATGGAGCAGCTGACAGATGTTCTTTGCCAGCAGGATGGCGAACAGATTGCTAAACTGGGCATTGGAAAGTGGCAGCAAGTCCGAGAAGTTTGCTTTGGCCTGCCCTGTTGCCAAAGCATGCAAGCACAAACTCGGAGAGAAGAGTATGCCGGTGCCATCGTTCCTGGATGCGAGGCGCAAAGGCTTGAAGATAGTGAACCCGAATAGCAGCAAGAGCAATACGTTGGGCCTCCGAAGCATTCAGTTGGCGTTTGCTGAATCACAGAAAACCGGAGAGCGCATCTGCGTTGCACCGTGCGCCATGTCTGCTGTTAGACCAGCTTCTGAAGAACGGCTGCCCTGGTTACGAGTCCTTGTGCAGCAAGCGATGGTCCGGCAGAGCCTTGCTGGAAGAATCGCAGAACATTGCTGACATTGTTTTTCTGTCTGGCGCGTTTCGGTTCTCAGCTGCTGTCGGTGAGACGGCATTCCCAGTGGGACTGGGGGGTGACCGTGTATGTATATATATATATACACAGACATACATAACTACTTCTTACACTATATTGAAAAACTTCCCCCAAGACCATGCTGCAATTCACATAAGGCCTCTGCAATAGGCTCGGGCTCAGTCCTTGTCCAATCCGTAGTAACCCTGCGCCTAAATTTTTTTTGCAAGCATGAGAAGGCGAGCTTAGGATGTAGGGCTTAGGGTTTAGGGTTCAGGGCAGAAAGCTCAGACGTCATCGAACTTTTCCCCGAGTCCAGTACCATCTAGCGCACGTTCAGGAAGAGAACGGAACTGAATAACCATAACACCCAGGTTCAGGAACCCGATTAAGAAACCCTGGCCCTCTAATCCCAAAAGAATGTATTCATATAAGCAACCCCAATAAACACCCTAAACACCCCAAACCGTAAACCCCAATAAACACTTTAAACACCCTAAACCCTAAACCCCAATAAACACCCAGGGTCACTTAATCCGGCCCCTGTATCAGTAGCCCTTGCAGGCTCCCGCCGCGAAACTCTCGAAGCCCTGAGGTGCTCTTAACTTTCGGGCGCTACGACACCATGCGGCCCCCGGTGATCGATGCGATGTACCGGACCCACTTCTGCCTTCAGGGTGTACCTTAAACTACCCTGACCTACTTTTCTGTAGGTTCTTGATTCTTTTGATAAACCCTAATATGGATGTATAAGAGCCCTACAGAGAAGTAGGGTATGGTAGGTTGAGGTAGGGCTGCAGACCACTGCTGTCTCAACCCAAAACCTTAAGCTCGCTCGAACACCCTCCCCATCCAGGCTAGGTTGGAAATGTCTTGGATACTGCCCCCCCCCCCGCCCACTCAGTGACAGCTGAATACTACTTACGATATGGTTTTGCAAGGCCCTCAATTCTAGTCCTATGCACCCCTGCCCAACCTAAACCCTGAACACTCTCTTACTATATAATTTAAA